ACCCCCCTGAATAAACCTGACTCCCTAAACCCCTAAACCCGCCTCACTCGCCCCCCTCCCAAACAGAAGACACCAAACCTCCAGACCCGAAACCCCTTCTAAACCCTAATAACCGAAAACCAACCTGAGACCCTGTCTTGGGTGAACGCTAGAGACCCTGAACCCTTGAGGACCCTAAACCGAAACCCCAGAGACTACAGAGACCCTAGAGACCCTAAACCCTAAACATTTCCAAGTCAGAGGAAGAGGAGGACTCCGAGTGGGACCCAAAACGCATGGCGGCACGAAGGCTTGGCACGAATGCTTGGCAGCCATGTAAACGATTGTAAACGTTTATGCCAACGTGCTTTTCAGCATGTCCGATGCCCCATGTCACTGTCCACTTCGCCGCGCATGTCCAATGTCAACTGTGCCTTTCGGCCCCGGTGATCGAGGGGTCCAGTAGAAACCGGGCAGGATCACATGAAGCTCTTAGAGGCAAGCCCTCCTTCCCCAACCTCCCGCCCTTAAAACTCTATGATGTTTACCTAACTGGACTGTTTTTCTTGTTTTACCACTCCTTTTTTAGGGCTACAACAGGATCCCAGGAGCCGAATAGCGTAACGGGCCAAAAGAAAGGAGCCTTAAACACCCTACCTTGAGGACCCTAAAGATCCTAAAGGCCTTAAAGATCCTAAAGACCCTAGAGACTGTAAAGAATCTAAAGACTGTAAAGACCCTAAAGACCCTAAAGACCCTAAAGACCCTAACGACCCTACAGACGCTAAAGCCCCTAGAGGCCCTACAAACACTAAACTGCCCGAGACCCTCAATTCCCTAAATCCCCTACAAACCCTACAAACCCTAAACCCCTAAACCCCTAAACCCCTAAACCCCTAAACCCCTAAACCCCTAAACCCCTAAACCCCTAAACCCCTAAACCCCTAACCCCTAAACCCGAAACCCTAAACCCCAAACTCCTGAACCCCTAAACCCCTAAACCCCTAACCCCAAACCCCTAAACCCGAAACCCTAAACCCCAATCCCCTAAACCCGAAACCCTAAACCCCAAACTCCTGAAGACAATAAACCAAACCGATTCCTCAGCAGCGTCGGCCTGGGCTTCCCCGGGGCAGCGGCGGAACACCCTGGGGGCCTTTAGGTTGGGTTTGAGGTTTGAGGGTTCAGGGCTTAAGGTTTAGGGTTTAGGGTTTAGGGTTTAGGGTTTGGGGTTTAGGGTTTAGAGTTTAGGGTTTAGGGTTTAGGGTTTAGGGTTTAGGGTTTAGGGCTCTGGGTTTAGGGTTCAGGAAACCGGGTTCAGGATTTACCTTGAAGTGGAGGAAGGGAGAACACTTGGAACCTTCGAAGCCAATGTAAAATGCATGAAAGTCACTAACCCACGCAAGCGAAACCCCATTAGTCCCCCTGGTTCTTTGTAGGGAATGAGGGAATGAGGGCCCTATATAATCCCTTAAAGGGTATATGTGGGGCCCCATTCCCTCATTCCCTACTAAGAAGGCCAGAATTAGTCCACGCCATCCCTTTCCACGACTTTGCCATCCTAAGGACTACGGACATCCGGACTCGCGAGATGTTCCGCTAGAACTCTTAAAGCCAGAAAAAGCTAGAACCCCTACAGCCCCTAAAGCCCTTAAATCCCCTCTAAACCCTAAACCCGAAACCGATAAACCCCTAAAAAACCCTGAAACCCCTGAAACCCCTAAACCCTAAAACCCAATTAAGCCCCTAAACCCCTAAAGCCCCTAAACCCCTAAAGCCCCTGAAGCCCCCTTACGCCCCTCCAACCCTAAACTCCTATAGCCCTAAAGCCCCAAAACCCGAATTTCCCCAAAAGCCACTAAACCCTAAACTCCGAATTTCCCTAAATCCCCTACAAACCCTACAAACCCCTAAACCCTAAACCCCGAACTACATCTCCCCCGGCCGTCGTCGAAAAGGTCGCCGCGCCAGGCGGCCGGTGGTGGCTCAGTAGGAGGCGCCTCACAGGTTTCCGCAACTTGGGGCCCTTTTAGGATTTAGGGGTTTAGGGGTTTAGGGGTTTAAGGTTTAAGGCTTAGGGTTTGGGGTTTAAGGTTAGGGTTTTAGGGTTGCTTAGGGTTTAGGGTTTAGGGTTTAGGGTTTAGGGTTTAGGGTTTAGGGTTTAGGGTTTAGGGTTTAGGGTTTAGGGTTTAGGGTTTAGTGTTCAGGGTTAGGGGTTTAGGGTTCAGGGCCTCAGGTTTTAACTGAACAGCTTGGGTTGCCCAGCAACCTAAGGTGCTCAGGAAGTCCCACACTTGGCACTCAGCTCTGGGTTTGGGGTTTAGGGTTTAGGGTTTAGGGTTTAGGGTTTAGGGTTTAGGGTTTAGGGTTTAGGGTTTAGGGTTTAGGGTTTAGGGGTTAGGGTTTAGGGTTTAGGGTTGTTGGAGTTTGTGCGTTGCCATCGTTGCTTCTGTTTGTGCTTATTGCTGTTCCGTTGCTATTGCCCCATGATTCGAACTCCTCGTTCTCAGGCGGCGTGTCAAGTTGCATGAATATTTCGAAATTCGCAACGCGCGATTTTGACGTATCTAATTCAAACTCTTATCCAAGAACACTCGGCCATTTTCAATGAAGTGAAAAGGGTTTATCTGGAATCACCGAAAGAGGAAAAGGCTTGGGTTTTAATTTCAGTTAAAGGGTAGGGCTTAGGGTTCAGAGACTAGGGTCAACACCATCCATTTGGAGGCTCATGGGTTCTTAATCCTTAGACACCCTAGCCCTGAATCACTACCCTAGAAGATGTGCCGCAAACACAGCCACCCACAAGGCTCCAAAAAACAAACGCCTCCCTGTCTCAGAAGGGGCTCTGAGGTTCAGGGGTTCAGGTGTCAAGGGTTAGAGCTTAGGGCTTAGGGCTTAGGGTTTAGGGTTCAGGGTTTCGGGCTTACGGGCGACTCTGGTCCGAGTCCTGCGGTCTGACCTGTTCTTGGACCCATGGAAAAGTTCGTTTCTCTATGTTCCCTTGTAAGCAGAGACACATGAAATTGAAAATTGGACTCAACAACGGCCTACGGTTTGGGGTTTAGGGTTAGGGTGTAAGCTGCAAACTCTAGACCTTATAAACCCTCGGGGTCCAGGGCATGGGGGGTTGAGTGTTTAACGCGCGGGCTTCTCACGCAAAAGTATTTGTGCATGTCTCCTTTGCCCAGTCCTGCAAGCATGACGGGAAATTAGGGTACTGGGCAGCCTAGCTAAAATGAAACCCTAAACCCAGAACTGGCACCCTAAACCCTATACCCTAAACCCTAGACCCTAAATCCTAAAAGGGGCTTCGTCTCTGAGATTCGTGGTCGGGATGTGAACTTGTTTGACCATCGTGCAGATGCCAGTCGATCCAATCCACCGAAGAGCTTTGCATCGGGCCGGTGAAACAAGGCCTAACACATACGCCGTCCAAAATAGCCCCCACTCATATTCCATTATCAACATATATATATATATATATTATTTATCTATTCATGTATTTATCTATTTGTTTTTATATTTATATGTGTTTTTCCCCACCCTCGGTGTGGGGTTGTTAGATTCTAAACTCAACTCTTCTCCCCCCGGATGTCTTCTCCTCGCCCGGTCTACTCCTCGCTCATCCCTAAATTGCCCAACCCCAAAGTGTCCCTGGAGTGCCCAACTCTAGAGTGTCCTGGAGTGCCCAAGTGTCCCCGAGTGCGCCCCAGAGTCTCCAGAGTGCCCAACCCCCAGAGTCTCTCTGGAGTGCCCAACCCAAAGTCTCCCTGGAGTGCTCCAGAGAGTCTTGCTGGAGCCCAACCGCAGAGTCTCTCTTCTCTGCAGTGCAAAGTTTTCCTGGAGTGCCGAACCTGTTCCGAGTTGCCCAGCCCCAGAGTTGCCCAGCCCCAGAGTCTCCCTGGAGTGCCCAAACCCAGAGTCTCCCTGCGGTGCCCAATCCCGGAGTGCCGGAGTGCTCAGCCGAGAGTCTCACCCTGGCGTGCCCAACCCCAGAGTGTCCCCGGAGTGCCCAGCCACAGAAGTGCCCAATTTTAGAGTATTTCTACCAAGAGAGGGTGGGGATGTTCGAAGTAAAATAATTTTAACTTATTTATACACTAGATATATGTGTGTATATATATATATAGATATACCCAACGGAGGCGCACAGATCAGGAACGTACTTGGTCCAAGAACTGCTGCAAGGGTGGCAGCCCATGCCTGAGTCCATTCACTGAGCTTCAGGTCCCTGACTCGAATCAAAGGCTTACAGAGGGTTTAGGGATGTTTAGGGTTTAGAGTTTAGGTTTTCGGGTTGAGGGTTTAGGGTTTAGAGTTTGGGGTTTGGGGGCTTCAGGCTTAGGGCTTCGAAGGCTGGGTGTTGGTTATCCCGGCACAGAAAGAAGCCCTGGCGAGGATGACTGAAATCCGAACCCAAAACCCTGAGCTGGACATGTGCAAGCGGCGAAGGGGGATCTAACCATCCAAGAGCGACAAATCTCGCGTCGCTTTCAACTACACACTTACTTCAAGGCTTGGATAGAAGTGGGGGACACAGTACCCCAAGTCGCACAACCAGTAATAACCACGGTTACCCTACAACGATCCCAGGCTTAGAACTAACCATAAACCTCCCACTAAGCTCCCAAACATGATGAAGAAGTGCAGCCCGTGAGAGCCCGTAAACGAAGATGCATTCCTAAATCCTCATCTTTTTTCGTCCGAAACTCCAAAGTAATCAACCCTTCGGGGAGGGGGGGGGATTGGAGAACTTTTGCAAGCGCGCTTCTGCATGAGTCTCCGTAGCACAGTCCGAAGAAGTTCAAGCCGACCAGAATCGAAAGGGTGCCCATTGTTGGGCGTCCGAGTCTTGCCGCCACTCCAAGTGGAAAAAGTGGCTGGCAAGTCAGATGAGAACCCCCCTTGGAGAACCATCATAACATGATGTCTGTAGCATTCCCTTGGGTCTTAAATACTAAACCAAGGGTACAGGATGGTACCTGCAGGCTACTTTGGCCCCACCTTTGGAGTGATGGAGCTCATTCCACTTCGCCTAGCCCAGGCATGGGCATCCCAGGCATGGGCTGCCCAGGCATGGACTCCGGCCCGCGCAACATTTGGATCGCGTTCGCGCCTCCACCTGCCGCAATCTTGCCCAGGATTGGGTTCACGACGGCCTCAAGCTCCTTCTGCTTGTCCTGGATCTCGTCTGTCTTGGCCATCTCATTGTCATCTAGCCAGTCAAGGGCCTCGGGGTTTCCTTTCCTTACCCTTAAACCTCTAACCCCAAACCCTAAACCCAAAACTCTAACCAACTCCGAGGAGGGCCTCCTGAATGGCCTTCTTCGCCTTTTCCTTGTCGCCGTCCTCGACAAAGTCCTTCAAGTTCTCGTTATTCAACAACCCTTGGGCGGCGAAGCAGAGCTGCTCCATGGAACCTTGGTGGCCCATATTTCCCTCAGAACGGTGTCCTCCTTGGAAACCCTAAACCCCGATCCCTAAACCCTAAATCCGAAACCCGAAACCCTAACCTCCGCCCAAAGAAGGGCAAAAGGGGCTTCCAAAAGGAACTTGACTGAATCTTAGTAGGGAATGAAGGAATTAAGTACCATATATCCCCAGGGAATGAGGGAATTAGGTACCATATATCCCTCTACATATATATATATATATATATATATATATAGCCGGGCGCCGGAATCGGGTGTTTACCATAAAGTGGTTAGGCTGAAATATGTATGCCCCGCGCCCGGCATAGGTGTGTTTGGTAAGTCTTAAGTGCCGTGTCGTTGGTCAGCTGTTGGGATTTCAGGGGTTGGAGTTTGATTGGGTTGAACTAGGCTTGCAAGTGTGAGGCTCCAGGCCCAGTGATTCGACCATACTAAATAATCAGCATCGCAACATATCACACATCATCATCGTTAATCATATGTTCACGGAGCAGCGCAACAGCATCGTGACAAATGCTGTCGGAGAAATGAGCGAAGCACACAGAGGTGCGCCCAACCCCAGAAACTTGCTGGTGCCCAACGCAGAGACTCTTGGAGTGCCAACCCGTCTCCCTGGAGTGCCCAACCCCCAACACAGAGACGCAGAGACTCCTGGAGTGCCCAACCCCAGAGTTCTGCATTGCACGCTGCAGTGCCCAACCCCAGAGTCTCCCTGGATTGAACCCAGACCAGAGAGTCCCTGACAAGTGCCCAACGTGCCCAACCCACAGACTCCTGCTTGCTGGAGTGCCAACCCCAGAAACTCCTGGAGTGCCCACCCCCAGACACCCCCTGAAATGCCCAACCCAGAGACGCCCGGGAGTGCCCAAAGTGCCCAACCTCAGAGACTCCCTGGAGTGCCCAACGCCAGAGACCCTGGAGTAGACACCCCCGGGAGGGCCCGAGTGCGATGTTCGAAGTGAAATACTTTTACTCCACTACTCTACTATTCTTCTTCGACTCCTCTTCTACTACTACTACTACTACTACTACTACTACTACTACTACTACTACTACTACTACTACTACTACTACTACTACTACTACTACTACTACTACTACTACTACTACTACTACTACTACTACTGCTACTACTACTGCTACTGCTACTGCTACTGCTACTGCTGCTGCTGCTGCTGCTGCTACTGCTACTGCTACTGCTACTGCTACTGCTACTGCTACTGCTACTGCTACTATCTACTAGGAGGCTTTTGGGCCTAAGGGAAAAGGAACTCTTGGCTTCCTTCTTCTTCATCAGCACTGCATCTTCGGCACGGAAATGCTCCTGAAAAACATTTGGGGCGGACATGATGAGTCGTTTAGGGTTTAGGGTTTAGGGTTTAGGGTTTAGGGTTTAGGGTTTAGGGTTTAGGGTTTAGGGTTTAGGGTTTAGGGTTTAGGGTTTAGGGTTTAGGGTTTAGGGTTTAGGGTTTAGGGTTCAGCATCTCAAGTCCAAGCATTCACTAGTCAAGAAATTACTCCAGAAAAATACCCACCCGCCCGAAGAATCCCACAACATTAAGAAAATATTTCACTTTGGAACGACCTTGCCCAGTGAAAAAATGACCTTGCCCAGTAAAAAAATGACCTTGCCCAATAAAAAAATGACCTTGCCCAGTAAAAAAAATGACCTTGCCCAGTAAAAAAATGACCTTGCCCAGTAAAAAAATGACCTTGCCCAGTAAAAAAATGACCTTGCCCAGTAAAAAAATGACCTTGCCCAGTAAAAAAATGACCTTGCCCAGTAAAAAAATGACCTTGCCCAGTAAAAAAATGACCTTGCCCAATAAAAAAAAAATGACCTTGCCCAGAAAAAAAAATGACCTTGCCCAGTAAAAAAATGACCTTGCCCAAATGACCTTGCCCAGTAAAAAAATGACCTTGCCCAATAAAAAAATGACCTTGCCCAGTAATGACCTTGCCCAGTAATGACCTTGCCCAGTAAAAAAATGACCTTGCCCAGTAAAAAAATGACCTTGCCCAGTAAAAAAAATGACCTTGCCCAGTAAAAAGATGACCTTGCCCAGTAAAAAGATGACCTTGCCCAGTAACATTTTTACTGGGCAAGGTCATTTTTTACTGGGCAAGGTCATTTTTTGCTGGGCAAGGTCGTTTTTTTGGACGAAACGACCTTGCCCAGTAAAAAAATGACCTTGCGCAGTAAAAAGATGACCTTGCCCAGTAAAAAAATGATCTTGCCCAGTAACTCCTTAACATTTAAATTATATATGAAAGAGAGGTTTAGGGTTTAGGGTTTAGGGTTTAGGGTTTAGGGTTTAGGGTTTAGGGTTTAGGGTTTAGGGTTTAGGGTTTAGGGTTTAGGGTTTAGGGTTTAGGGTTTAGGGTTTAGGGTTTAGGGTTTAGGGTTTAATTAGGGTTGGGGGTTTGGGGGTTTAGGGTTTTAGGGCTTTAGGTTTTAGGGTTTTAGGGTTTTAGGGTTTGGGGTTTCGATAGAAACCCAGCCTAAGGAAAAGAAACTTCCCAGACCACCCCGAGCGTCTGCTTCTTGCATCAAGCGGTCGAGCTCGGCCTGCGATAGTCGGCCCTTGTCCTAGGTTTTGCATTTGGGCTTCGGGTTCTAGGCACCTCTGACTAGCGTGGTACTCGAAAAGTTCAAGGAAACGTTCCAGATGTGCTCAAGGATCGGGTTTGATGGTCATCTCGCTTTTATTTGATGTGTCCTTGTCCTTCGCACTCACGGTCAGAATGCCGTTAGCATCGATATCAAAGGTCACATCGATCTGGGGCACACCGCGCGGGGCTGGCGGGATGCCGTCCAAGGAGAACTTGCCCAGCAGATTGTTGTCCTTGGTCATAGGGCGCTCGCCCTCAAAGACCTGGATCAACACACTCGGCTGGTTGTCCGCATCGGTGCTGAAGGTGTGTTCCTCGAATTTTCGACAGGAGAGGTATCAAGGCCCTAGACCCTAAACCCTAAACCCTACACTTTCGGACGCAAGGTG